AAGTGAGAACATTAAATCATCTCAGGATTTTGTTTAGAGGCTACTTCACTACTAAAAACACGTCTTTTACCTGGTGTAATAACCAAAGATTAAATCAAGAAAGAAGGAAGTACAGATGAATACTTTTTCTTGAACACAAGTACTTCACAGTGTGACATCCTCCATGATCAGCCTCCTCTCTCTCCTCCTCCGTGGATTATAACAACCTCCAGAGTCCTCCATTCTCCAGCACAGGCGTCTAACGGTCGGCTCTCCTTCCTGCCTGCTTGTCGTCATCTTGCAGCGGCTGCTCCTCTCCGTGGCCATGTCCACATGTGGCCAGCTCTGGTCCATCAGCCAAACTCAGAGGCAGCAGCAGGTTGGCTGCTTCATTCAAGTCTGGAAACTGGGCTTTTTCCTCCCATTCCATTCAGATTGTTCAGGGTGGTTACATCACCCTCCGTCAAAACATGTAGAACAACTCCTTCACAACACAGAGAAGTAATTAACTAACTATCAGCTTTATATTTTCTTACCATTATTGTGTTGTATTTGTCCAGTGAAGACTCACCTGAACAGGTTAAGGCCGTTCCCAGCTGTCTGACACTTTCTCGGGGGAACTCAGTCTTCTCAGACTCTGCAGCATTGTGTTCATTGACCCTGCTGTTATAATGAAGTGAGCATTTGAATTACATTAGAGTACAGTAGTGATGCAAAAGTTAAAATCTGGTTATTAACACAGAAGACGAAGGTCAGTGAGTACTGTTGAAAAAAGTACTTTTTTTCCTGGAACATATTACCCACAAACACTGTCTTTAATGTCAATATTTCTTCTGTCTTTCCTTTAGGGTTTTCTTTCTCAGTCTAATGACCTGTTGGAGAGGCAGTTACTGCACTTTGTGGCTCTGTGGTTCATTTAAATTTGACCATTACCAAACATGTTACAATACCACTGTGTCATCGTGATGTCAAAACCCACTGTGCTGAGACTTTTCTCAGAAACAGGTTTCAGTTAGACAGATTAAAACACAATGTGGAATGAGCAGCACAGAGCACCAAAACTCAGCACCACCTCCAGCCTCTCATGTGGCTCCAGCAAGAACCTGCATTCAACTACAGTCATGTGTCAAAAGAAGGAGGAGCAGAAGACCTTTGGGAAGTTTTGCACCTTCTTCAGCCAAACCTATGATTGGAGTGGAAGAGGTGGAGCCAATCAGAGGTACAGTATGTGACTACTCCCACACTTACAATGTTCTTCTAGGGATATGATTTGAACACAAAGATTAGTTGAAGTTTCACAGTCAAGTCTGTCCAACCTTCTTTCCCTGAGATTCTGTTTTAAAACACCACTAACAAGAACAGCACTTCTGTGACAGTCTTGAAAACTGGAACTACTCCCTTAATCACAGGCATGACATAGTCTCACCCAGTTCTTCTTCATAGGAATCCAACTCCTTCAGTAGCTCTGCAAACCTGGGGCCTGTCAGCCCATCTGCAGCTACAGAACACAGCATTACAGTTTGTTTTTTTTAACTCAGTAAATGTCAAATGTTGTTCGTTCATGAAAAACATGTAAAGTGACCATCTCACTTTTCTTACTGGTCTCATCTTTTGCTCTTTCATCCACATCGGTGTAAAAACATCCGTTGCCATCAGCAGTGAAGCTGGAGAGCAGCTCAGCACAGCAGCTCCTGGCTTTGGTCAGTGTGGAATGCATGTCCTGTGCCATTCGATGGTTCTCCACCAGCTCGGTGTGAACCCTCTTCCACGCCATCTTGTCCTCCATCAGACATCCCTCCATCACAGTACGCAGCTCCTTCTCCTGAGACACTTGACTTTGCAGGTTCTCCACCTCCTCACAGCGCTACACAGAGACACAGACCTGCTCGTAGGTTGCAGTGCTACACATGGACTGATTATCATGGAATCCTCTAGTCTATCAACATGTGGCAGCACCTTGTTGCCTTTAGGCAGGTGGACAGGGTTTTAAGTTTACCTTGTGTAGCTGTATGGCCATCTCCTGCATCTCAGCCTCCAGTTGATCAGCATAGGCCTGTTCCAGAGCATCACTGGGGGGTCGAGCACTGCTGTGCCACCTCGCAATGGCCGAGGTCATCTTACGCTTTGGTCCAAACAGTCTGAAAAACAGAAAGTCAAGAAAAAAAAGAATATATATATACATATATGTGTGTATATATATATATATATATATATATACACACACACACACACACACAAGCAAGCACAATACTTTCAGTCAAGAACTCAACATCTTTAAAATTATTTTTATCTTTGTTAATTCACAAATAGTTACATCGAGGGCGACTGGACGGAGTAGGTATCTTGAAGACATTTTACCAAGAGGCTGAAGAACAACTGAAGAAGCCTCTTGGATGAGAGGTGAAACGTCTTCAAGAAACCTACTTCGTCCAGTTGCCCTTGATGTAACTATTTTCGGATAAGTTTTTGTTTGCTGAGCTGACTGAGAACCTAAACAGACATCTTTAGTTGTTTAATCTGTGTTTTGTTGATATCTTTGTTAGTTGTTTAATCTGTGTTTTGTTGATATATTGTCTGATGTGACGGCAGTGTCAAATTGAAGACTTTTTGTTTATTACACAAAATGTGTTTCTTTTTAGCCTTAGATCAACTTCTGTGAATGAGGAGAAAACAGATCACTGTGGTTTGAGTTAATCACAGTTTATCACACACGTGTCACCTCATAACCCACAGGACTGTGTTGCCCATATAACACTGCCTTTCAGTTATTTGTTATGTTGAGTATCAATGATAGTACTCAGTATCAGCCAGCACACAAATGAAAGTACTTGTGATCAATACTCACGTGATTCCTATTTCCTTGAGATCATTTTCAGTCAGAGTCAGAAATATCCTCAGGTCGATGTCCTGCTCCTCCAGCACAGGGAGATACTTTGAGAAGCCGATTTGCTCCAAGAACTCTGCCAGATCCTACGGTGAGAGTGAGAGAGTTCAGACAATGACCCACACAGAGGTGGACAAGAAAAAAGTAGATGACCGTTCCCATCAAACTGCTGTTTTACATCACACATGCCTTTGGGCCAGTGTAGGAAGGTGGAGGAACCATATGTGAGCGTATCCCACAGTTCCCTGTTCCACTAGAGTGAGCTGCATCGTTGCTACCATGACGACCTTTGCCCTTGGAGTGATGACTCTTGTTCATTCTGCGGAAGCTGCTCTTTTTACACTGGTCTGAGTCCTATGGGGCAGAATGACGTCTGTCTGTGACCTCATCAGTGAACACTACCTGTTTTTCATAATCACCACACTCTCTGATCGCTTCACCTCGTTACTTTCCACAGAACCTTCCCAGTTGAGTGCAACCACCTGAGGTAAGCCCTCACTGCTGCTGCTGCTACTCCGCATGGTGGGCATGTTGTTGTCAAAGAATGGACTGTCATCTGCAACAGTATTTGATCATATTTGGATGTCAGTACCTGGACCTTTTACAAAGTCTTAAATCAGGTCAAGATGTTGAATCTCATTTGCTTTCACCTCTGCTGCTGTTGCTCTGGCCGTCCAGTTCATTTATTGGCGATGTCACATCACGGTAGCAGAGGCCTTCGTTCTGTTCACCATCTCGGAATGTTATGAAACCAGGCGGCACCACAGCAGGTTCTGTAAGAAGAGTGATGTTAATTGCTGTCTCATCCGTCATCATCATCATCATTTATGAAAACTGTACCTAATGTACTTCTAAGACGCTAACTAGCTGGAAATATGTAGCACGTGACACTACCACAGACTTTGCCGGTGCCTCCTACTCGAAACTTGGCGATTGCCTGGGGACCATCGTGGATGCTGATGCCTTTCGTTCGGTTTCGACTCGGCCGTATTCTTGGAGGGGCGCTGTCAGAGTCCTCAGAGGAGCTCAGGTCTTCAAAATGTCCTGCAAGAATGGATCCAAAAAGAAACCAAAAGTTATGACTTCGGACTAGTGCCGAATAGAGACATTAAGCTGAGAAGACCAGTACCTGGTTTCAACCTTGGGGCACGTGAGTCAATAAGGCCCACGATCTTGGTGTAGCCGTACATCATCGCAAGAGCTCGAGCTGTTTCTCCTTTAGCGTTACGTTCGTCTGCTCTGACCTTCTGGTAAAGCATAAAACCCAATGATAGTACAAAACGTGCTGAGCTAAACAAAAGACATTCAACAACACTTACTTGATCCAGGAAATACTGCACTATGATTTCATGTCCAGAGGCAGAAGCTTCCATCAATGGAGTAAAACCAGACCCTGGTTCCCTGTGAATGAGACAGAGGTTTGTAAAACACAGTATTTCACAAACTATATTTAACAATGTGAAGTAGTGTTTTAACAACTGAAACCACTCACTTGACATTAGCATCAGCGTTGTTGTCCAGCAGGAACTTGACCATCTGCTGGTGACCTGTGCTTGTGCAGTGGAACAGAGCAGTCCACCCTCGAGAGTCTTTGAGCTCCAACTCAGCACCGTGCTAATAGTCAAAAGTTGAAAAAGGTTTTTTTAACCCACAGCCTGCTCCTGCCAAGTCCTACTCACTACTTGAATTCCATTCTGTTCTATAGTGCCTGTAAACAGTGAATCCTCAGGACCGCTGCGTACCTGAAGTAGGAAGTATGCAATGCTTTCGTTGCCACAGCTTGCAGCCAGCATCAGCGGTGTCAGACCTTTGGAAGTGGTGGCATTGACATTCACACCTGCCTCCAGCAGCAGATTTGCGATGTTGTCGTGCCCGATGTACGAGGCGTACATCAGTGGGGTCCATCCTCCAACATTCTTACCATCCAGATTCACCTCATGTCTTTAAAAACAGACCATAAATAGACCAGTCGGATAAGTACTGTGTCATAACACCAAATGATAAACCTGCAAGGATGGAAGTCTGATAGAAACTGATTTTTCCTAAAGACATTTTGTTAATAATCTTATCGTATGTCATCTTTGCAGCTTTTATCATCTATTCTCTATGAACGAGTATGCAGATCTTCTTTCACTCTATTTCTAAACAGTATATAAGAAAAGTGAATATTATAATATTGTCTATTGTAGTTTTTTTTTTTTTGTTTGTTTGTTTTAGAAAACCCACCTCCTAATGCACCCTGCCACCACGTCGTACTGGCCGATGGAGCAGGCAGTGTGAAGATCCAGAGGAACATCCAGTTCCTCTGGTCGGACCAGGGATTCTCCGAGCCACATGGACAGACTGACACCCAGCTGCTCGGACTCACTGGCCTCATCACTCAGCTCAGACATGTTACTGCTTTTATCACCTGGAAACACAATGGAATCTGGGACTGCACCGCCGTGACAATGTATATCATACCAGAAATGCATTCACAGGTTTTCTAAACTTCATAGAGAAAGGGTCACTCAGTACACTGATGCTGGTTAATAACAGCTTCCGGTGTTGGAGCTAGCGGTACCTATTACATTCAATGCTTTAACCGATGTCCAACTTTCCCTTTTTAGTCTTGTTTAACACTGCCTTCGCGAAAGGTAAAGCAAGATAAAAATGCTTTCTAATTTTTCTTCTATATATTTTAAAACAATAACAAAAAACACATTGATTGACAAAAGACAATTGTTCAAACTTACAGTCGAAAGACAGTCTTGTTTTTTCAGCGGCTCCAACTTTTTTTGTTTTGGGTGTCACAGTCAAAAGTCCCCGTGTGGAAACTACCACACCCCGCTTTCTCGCTGGGCTGTACAGCTTTAATCTTATTCTCGCAGTCTGCATGTCTTTGATTTTATTATTAAAACCTTGCGCAATGGCGTGCATCCGTTTTTGACCTTATCTTTACATTTTAAAAGTATAAAACAAACTAAGCGTGTTAAACAAACTAAAGAAAAACAGGTTTACTGAGCAGAAACTTCTTGCAGTTATATAATCCATTACTTTTAGGATAATATGCACGATAATTTTAATTATTTGCGCTGTCAATAATAAGCAAAAAGGAACAATTGATATTTTTCTCATCAAAATAAAGTATTAAAAACTAATGTCTTATATACATTATATAATGAATGAATAATGAAAAACAAGTGAACAGTGATACAAGAATATTTATTCAGAAAACCTCCAAGCGGCATCAGTTTATATAAAGTCCCTTCTCTGATCAGTTTTGCCTGCAATTAACAGTGTGTAAAATGTCTGCAACTGAAGGGATAAAACCAAAGAAAGTCACAGAAAGTTGAAGCGAAACTCCTCCTTGGATGGAGTAAAACTGAGAGTTGGTGTCTCCTCTAGAGTCGGTGTGATCTGTTGTGCAACCTTAGCTTGCTCTGAGTTTCCCTCTGTGTTTAAAGTTTGGACTTTGGCTGTGGCCTTCCGATGGAAGACGGGCTTCTTTGAAACATCCGAGACAACTTTGACCCGTGCTGATGCAATTTCTGTAAGGACCAGGGAAAAGTCATTCTGATTGAAAGTGCAGCCTTTCAACATAAACTTTTATTATAAAATTTCTCCACCACAAAAATCAAGACTAACCACTCTGAATTAGCCTAAACTGTTTGTTTTTCTCCTCGTCCATTTTCTTCCGGTACTCCCCAGCCATGGCCCTCATCACCTGTCGCTTCTTGACCAGAGGAGCTTTAGAGCTATGTAGAGTTTTGAGGGCACGTGAGGCCTCCTCCTCTGCAGAAGGAGCTCATCAAAGTTAGACACTTCAATGTAACAATGAAACCCAAATCTAATTCTGAACTGGTATGCAGAAAAAAATAATGTAACATTTAACTGAAGCTTGTAAAGGAGTTTTTCTATTCTGCCCTTTTCAAATGAAATGATACAGTTAAAGTTGAAATCAGACTCACTCTGTTTTTGTGTGGCCTTTTGGGATCTCAGCCCCAGCTCCAGCTGCTCTATGCACCAGTCCAGCTGTCTTTTAAACTGCTCTTCTTCACTCTGAAACACACTCAGAGATTCCAATATCAGTCTGTGTGATTCAGGAGACAAATGACTAGATTACAAATAACCACATTATTATAATACTGACCAGCTCAGGGTCGGCACCTCTTTGACCACCCCCCTCTGGATCCTCTGTTGCCCGTGTATCTTGTACAACCTGTTTTGATTTCTTCTTCTTCTTTGATTTGGACAGCACTAGTGGCTCAGGTGGAGACGTAACCCCTACCTTTGAAGATGTTTGTTCCACTTTCTCTTCCATTGAAGTGCCTAAAGTCTCTGCTGTTTCCATCACTTCAACAGGTGCAGCAGCAGGAGGAATTTGAAAGTTAAAGACAAAAGCAGTGCCTGCTTCAGTAACAGATGTCTGGCTTTGTGTGTGTGGTGCAGTCCTGTCAGGCACCGGACGTGTCGTCTCCTGAAGAGTTGGAGAGTTGTCAGGGATGAAGCTGAATCTGAAGCTATTGTCACTACGAGTCCAGAGCCTCTGATCAGCAGCAGACTTGTCTGTCTTTGGGTCAATATCTGTGTAACAGGCAGAACCAACTCAGAATATTTAGATAAGGATGAGCTGAGAGGCAGCAGCAGTCCTGGATGGAATTACTCCAGGTAAGGATGGTTGCAGCTTTCAGTATGGTAGATGACGAAGTAGACTAAAATCCATGAATGCCTTTAAACACCTTCCACTAAAAACATGTGCAAGTCAAAGAGTAAGTCAGAGAGCAGTTACTGAGTAAAATGTTTTTTCTTCATATTTAAAACAATATAAATTATACAGTATACATAATCAACAGGGAGTTACGTTGAACCTGAGCTATTATGAGCTACTTATATCGTGTCGTGAGGTTGGAATCTAATGTACCTATAAACAACAGGTTTTGTTCAGCCATGTTGGTCTGTCGCAGCTTCTGTTCTGTTACGGCACCTTTGTTTAACTGAACTATTCAGCTCGTAAAAGAAAGCTGTGTTTAAACAAAATCACTACTCTTTCCTACGTATCCATGTTGTTTGGAACTGCTTACCTCCGGTGTCATGAAAGAAAGGGTCCGTATTCTCTTATTTCCCGAAAATAATCGTTCCGCTACTCGCCAGATGAGGTTTCCTAATAAGTTCAGGTACTAGTACATTTCTAAACATCCTTCGGTGTTTATTCTGATAATAATAATATTTGTGAAATGTTTAAATATACTACCTCAGCCGAACTTGCTCATATTAAACATTGATGCTCCACTTCATTGTTAAAAAAATTTAAAATAAACTTTCTTTTCATCTCACAATCATTGGCCTTTTTTTTACAAATAGATATCCCGTAATTTTTGCATTATTAATTTCTGGGGGGAAGTGGGCTGCTGTTTGTGCAGTTCCATAGTTTCAGTTTTATGCTCAGTCAGGATGCTCCTTGAACACAATAATGTGACATTTTAAAGGTGGAAGGTAGTTTTTATGTGCAGCGTGTAAGTGAAAGTGTTGTGTTGTCTGTAGCAAGTTGAATGTTCTTTTTGTTTTAATGAAAAAAAAAGTGCGTCTCCTATTATGCTCTCTTTCAAATGCAGAAGTTGTAGCCATCGTCTTACTCTCCACTAATCAGTGTAAGTCTCAATTCTCTCCATAAACCAATGAGAGATTCTGAAAACCTTGACGTCAGAGAGTGTTCTCTTGGTTTATAAATACCGACTCCTACCCACCCACTTGGTAACAACAGTCAGTCGACAGCCGGAGAAGGAACGCTTTTTTTCGCCCCACGGAGCACAACAATAAAAGGTAACGTGAGATCAAGCGTCTTCTTATCTTTGAATGTACTTTTACATTTAACAGCATTCAACGATATAACTACTTTTTGTTGAATATCACAGTAACGTAAACAAAATAAGGCTAAGTTTGGTTTCAATTGTCAATCAGTTGACAACAAGGAAGCGCGCGCCATTGCCACTCGGCTAACAGTTAGCTAAATTTTTAGCTTTTTGATCAAACTGTTTAACAAGAGAAGAACGAATTGTAATCAAACCAGACGTAAATATATTTTTCAAATGTAAAAATGTTATTTGCTCCACGTGTGCAGGCACCGGCACTATGTTTAAAATTTACGGTTAACGTATGTGAAAAACGCTGGCGCCATTTTGCCTCCGTTGGTGTTATATTTGCTGCTCAGTAAACGACAGAGAAGAAACGTGTATGTGTCTTGTGGCTTAATGGTGGCGGGTCGACATTAATGTCTTTTCTCCCTCTTTTTTTCCAAACTCCGATTGTACTCGTCGGCTTTGACTGACAGTGCCAAATGAGAAACTACTAGTATTCTTCTGACCGTGGCTGATTGTTGTTTTTATATAATCACTTATCGCTCGAATTTTTTTTTTTTATCCCCATATCCATTGAGTGTGTCATTGGGTTTAGGTGACATATTTCCCACATTTGGTGACATAGTGCCAGTATAAAATTTGTGAAATGTACAAACTTTTGGTATTTTAGTTAACATTTTCAAAACAATGTCCTTTTTTTAGACCTGCAGGTAAAGTATGGCTCGTACCAAGCAGACTGCTCGTAAATCCACTGGAGGAAAGGCGCCTAGGAAGCAGCTGGCTACAAAGGCTGCCAGGAAAAGCGCGCCCTCTACTGGTGGAGTGAAGAAGCCTCACAGATACAGGTACACATGTTCACCAATTAGGTTTAATGGGTGGATGCAGGCATTGACGTTTTATTGGATTATTTCCAGGTTTAGTAAGTAAAAAGTTAAGCATTATGTTTTGCATTGGCCAGGCCTGGAACTGTTGCTCTGCGTGAGATTCGTCGGTACCAGAAGTCTACCGAACTGCTCATCAGGAAGCTGCCATTCCAGCGTCTGGTCAGGGAGATTGCTCAGGATTTCAAGACCGACCTGCGTTTTCAGAGTGCAGCCATTGGAGCTCTCCAGGTAAGATGACTCAAACTGTATTGTATATTTTCAATAAACGGCTAACCTCAAATGGGACAATGTAATATAAAGCAAGATCATTCTAAATGTCTAATTTTTTTTTCTGTGTTAATGCAGGAAGCCAGTGAGGCATACTTGGTTGGACTCTTTGAGGACACCAACCTGTGCGCTATTCACGCAAAGAGGGTCACCATCATGCCGAAGGATATTCAACTGGCCAGGCGAATCAGAGGAGAGCGTGCATAATTGATTTGATCATGTCTTTTTAGTGTGGGGTGGGTTCTTGGTGGGAGGGTCTGACTGGGGGTTGTTTTGTAAATCTTGATCTGCATGTGTGTACTGTCATTTGTAGTACCTGCCTTTTTTTGTACTTGTTGAATCTTTCTCCCTGCTGTCTTTCTTTAGCATAGAGCTTCACATCTGTACAAACATATTCCACTGCCTTTCTCAGGTTTGCATATTTTAGAAATCTGTACATCTAATCCTGTGTGTGCATGTCATAGGATTTCTTTTGCTGTAAATAAACTTTCCGCTACCTCAGAATATCATGTTTCTGATTACACCCCTTAAAAAAAACTTTCAATTTATAACAGTGATTTGTAATTGTAAAACATGGATTCTTTCAGTGGTCAGTTTTGTGAATATCAATTCAACAGAGTTTAATTGATTTAACCACTCAACAGAAATTCAATGTGTAAATAAAAGAAAAAGCCATAGGTTGCTTTTGCGTAACCTGGAATACATTAGTAACAAAGGAAAGTATTTTGTACATTGTACAAAGTCATCAATACTAGCTTGACTTGTTGTCTTGTTCCACCTCCTTGGTCAATGTAGGAAAATGCTCATGCAATGGTGTCATGAGCTGAGCATCGGTGTCTGTCTCCCTCCTGAAGGCACACCACAACAGAGTGACTACGAATAAGAGGCTTAAGGGGACAACTTTCCACAAGGGACGCTTATAGTGCGTTCCAATGGAGCGGTCCACTTTCCAGTTCCGGTGACTGGCTTTGCTCGTAGAGAACTTGATAGGTTCATTATTCTCTTCATCATTGGTCGCCCGCTTGGATCTAGCAGCAGAACTGGAGCTCAGGGCAAGAGATTTCAGATGGTTTAGCCTGCAAAAGGAAAGGACGTTTGTTATTAAAATACTAATCTAATCAATTTGACCTAGGGCCTGGCTAAGATTTGGATCAACTTGGAGCGTTTTCTTGAGTCAAAAATAGTCCCACACTGGTAAAGCAAATTGATGCAAAGATCAGATTGAACAAACAATGAATAATACATATAAGATTTTAGAAGAAGCACTAAATGTTTGTCCAATTTAAAAAAACTGAATGACATACAATTTCGTTTCGGGGATGAAACTGTTTGGTGCTAGCTTCTTTGTCATCATAACGATATTTAAACAACGATTCGTTCTAAAATTGCCCTGATAATGACACCTTAATTGCATATAAGAAGAAATACCGCTTAATACAAACTGTATAAAGTGGTGAAAATGTTTCTAGGCTAAAAACACAATCACCAATATCTGTGTTTCTGTTAAATAGCTCGCATCATAATTTAACACATACCTCAGGGTTGAGTTCTGAATCAAAATCTTGCGACTCGGACATTCTCGTGTCGCACCGAAAAAAGTTCGTCTCACCGCTGTAAACATTTCAGCCAAATAATCATCTTACTAAACACAAGTAGTATATTACCGAAACCAAACAGACATCGTTACCAAACGTTCTTGGTTAGGTCATGACACACGAGATGTGCAACTCTTAAATCCATCCGGTACTGCCGACGAAGGCAGTCGTATAACGTTCCGCATAATTGTTGCTTGAGTTCGTTTTTGGTGAAAGTTATACAGATGGATCCCTTTTTTCATGTTTTGACAACCTTTTGAGTATTTTGAATATGGTATTTGAATAGAAACAATGACTTAGAAAAAGTATAAGTATAAAAAACTTCGAAATGTCCCATTTTACAAAATGTAATTATTTTTCACACTTCGTTGGTGACTGTAGTAGTCCTTGATCAAGTGGCAAGAGCGCTAGTCTTCTAAGTTAAGAACCGCAGTTTTAAATCGTGTAAATTGCTGAAAATTGACTTAAAAAGCTGTTTTTATTATTTTACATTTCATTAATGCACAATGTCGCCGTCTGCTGGCCAAATCAAGCACAACTGACGGCGTTTGACAATCGCCACGATAGATATAAACGCAGCGTTCACCCTGTGCAGTAATCTAATTAGGTGCTTTACACACCCGAAGGTTAAACAGTAGCAAAAAAAAAAAGAGTGAGGTATTACCTGTTTTTCAATCGGTATTATCATTAGTTACCATTATTTTATTTTTTATTTTTGGTTTTCTTTTATCAAAATCTTATTCATGTTCCACATGGGCAATTAAACGTAGGGACACCTTTTACGGTGAAATCTTTTCAGGAAATGCGGTCGGTTGTTCGGTTAAGCTCCGCCAACAACAAGTTCCGGCCAACAGAGTTATCTGCGCGTCACACCCACACGTCACACTCTTCAACGTTTTGGACGGGAACTAGTGAGTGCAGTTGCTCATTTCAGCCGATGGAGGGCGAATCGCTTGTCTGTCCTCTACTGTCCTCTAAATGAAACTGCAACTTAATAAGTTCCCGCCCTGTATTTGGCCGGACCTCGCTGTTGGCGGAGCTAAACCGGAATACCGAATGCATTTCCCAAAAAGATTTCATCATAAAATGTGTCCCTACGCTAAATGAACAAAATAGATATTGTTCGATAGAAGGAAAACGAATTTAAAAATTGTAAATAATGACGAACAACGATAACACTGATTCAGAATTAGTGTACGTCTCAACCTTTGATAATTTCGCTACTGTTTAATGTCCGTGCATCTGAAGCGGGTAAGTCCATTACTGCGCAACCTGAACACATGTCACATTATTAAATATTTGAAGATTAGTGCTGTGGGTGCTGCTTAGCAGAAGGCGACCTCGTGCAGACAACCTTCCCCCCAAACTACCCTAGAGTAACATGAATTAAATAGAATTATTTTTTTATAGAATAAATGTGATTTAAAAATCTAAATAGTTATTAATAATTATGATACTGATTGAAAGAAAGGTAATACCTCGACCTTTAATGATTGTGACCAAGCTGTCACCAATAACACTATGCAATGGCAATTATAATCTTAGCAGATACATTACATTACATTTAGCCGACGCTTTTATCCAAAGAGTCAGTCACACACACACACACATTATTCCTATAGTTTTATTCATATTTATGTATTTATTTATACTATGTATGTATAATATTATTATTATTTTGGTGATGTTTTAATACAAAATATTATATCTGGACAGTAACATATTGTAAATGTTCAGGCAAAGAAAGCTTGTTTATTGCAATGTTTGAAATGAGCTACACGGGCGTTTTTATTTCGTAAAAGTTGCTCTCAGAGGAAGAATGTTGTGGACGTTACTCATAATGTATCCTCAAATGCCACGGTTCCATTAACGCCAATGGTCTTTAAACGCCTCAAAGCTATTGGCCAACTACAGAAACGACGAATCAGATCCGACCAATCACTAGGCTCCGGAATTGACATTACTTCCGGTCTGCGTTCCCATGCTTGTTTGGTGGTTCAGCACGTTTTCTAGTGAGCTCTTTACGTTTTATTTAACAAGAGAACCATATGTTAGACATTGGATCAGACATATTTCAGGTCAGATATATTTTTCTATTTACTAATTACGTTTGTACTTGAAGTACAACGTTACACCCGTTGTAGATAATTGTTGTTATAAGGATCGTCTGGAAAGATTTATAACAAAAATAGAACATTTAGAAGACCTTCTTGACCACATATGTAGGTTGATCATTTTACAGAATCATTGTGTATATATATAAGTATCCCTAAAGGCATGCCTGTTGTTTTTTGTTTGCTTTTTTGACGCAGTAAACCAAGACCATGGCCAAAAAGAAAACAGGACATTCAGAATCAAATCCGCCGAAAAGGAAAAAGTTGTCTTCAGATACTTATGTGGTTCATACAGACAATATGACGAACACTGAAGTGAAAAAGAAAAAGAAGAAAATAGAGGTGAGTGAGGTCCCCTGGCCTACTGAGCAGGGATTTTAAAGGGGTTTTATTGCTACTCAGGGCCATGTGGTTTAATATAATAAGACCCGAAATGACACAATGAGCTTATTAATTAAAATATCCCATTTGATGTAATCCTAGTATAAATATCAACTATTTCTTGACAAAATTAATGACTGACAATAATTATTAATAAATAATAAATTCTACGTGTATCTGTCATTCAAAGACTTAAGATACAATAGTTGTGTTAATATTTCTAAATGTAGTATTTTTAAAAAAAATAAAAAATTTTAAATACATCACATAGAAAAACTTAACAAATCACAGTGGAAAATTTTTTAAAAAATTAAAAATTTTAAATACATCACAGAAAAACTTAACAAATCACAGTGGAAAAGTGTTCCCTCCATTTACAGTCACATGTATTTTCAATACATTTGTCAATACATTTAAATTAGCTCCAAAATGTTGAAAGACAAGAAAAATATATCCGGAACTTAAACTTTGACTTAATATTTTCCTTCTTGTTTCTCAGTAAGAAGACAACATGACCAAATAAAATAAATGTTTTTTTCCCCCCAGGATGCTTCTGTGCAGATTCCTGATGTAGAATTCACAGAAAATGATCCCAAACCACAAAAGAACAAGAAAAACAAAAAGAAAGGTGTGAAAGAGGTACCACAGCCAATGGACACACAGGTACAAAAAACATAATTTTATTTATTTATTAATTTTACAGTTTTATCCAAACAATTTTAAAATGTGATTCTTTGTGCAAAGAAGAGCTTCATGTCAAAGATCTGTGCATATGGGAAAAAATAGGTTTTAGGTCTTCAACAAATTCATAGCTTTTTGCATTGCATCTGTTTTTTGACATTAGGAAGAGTTTTGCCTATTCTCTGACCTGACCTTTAACCTCGTCAATACACAAATTTCACTTTTACTTCCTGTGACTTTGTCGTCCAGCTGTTTTTATTGAAGGTGAGCTGTCATGGGAGAAAGTTTTAGATTAAATCTATAGATTCGCAGGACTTGTTGTGTTCTGCGCAGCTGCAGTTGCCAGTATGTGGCACATTGATGGACTTTCCAGTAGGTGACCTCTGCAGTTTGGTCCATTTGCTCCTCTGGTGGAGAAAAACCTTCAGTTTCTCCTGAAATGTCTCTCCAAGGAAGCTGTAGATGAGGGGGTTGAGGCAGCTGTTAGAGAAGGCCGCCAGTCTGACTGTGTGGCCTGTCAGGGGATAGTCCTGCCACAGAGTGTCTCCGTCCCTGTCCCCTCTCAGTAGGTGGACACTTATGAAGGCATTCTCTGGAAGCCAGCAGAGAAAAAACACTACAACAGCCGCTGAGATCATCTTCAGAGCCTTCTGCCTGCGAGGTCTCCTCTCCCGTCCCTCTTGTTCCCTCTGACTGCGTCGGAGAACCTGAGCTATTCTCCAGTAGCAGACCCCCAGGACACAGAAGGGCAGCAGAAAACCCAGCATCACCTCCAGCCACTGAATCTGTGTTACGTTGGCAAAGCAGAAGGTGAGCTCCCCGGGGTGCTGAGCTTGAGTTACCATGAAAGGCAGCAGGGTAAGCAAAGACGAGGACACCCAGATGAGGCAGCAGCTGATGCACGCATCCCGCCGACCTCGTCCCATGTGACCGGTCAGCGCCACAAAGCGGTCAAAGCTCATCCACGTCAGAAAGAAGACGCTGCTGTACATGTTGGCCTGCTGGAAGAGGTTCATGAAGGTGCAGAGCCCAGCCTTGTCGTAGTAGCCTTGCTTCAGGTTGAAGACCTCAATCAGAGAGTCGGCTACCAGCATGAGATCGGCCACAGCGAGGTTGACGAAGTAGAGATCCGGGGCCTTGAGGCGCCCTTTGTAGTCCAGGTTTACGACCAGGATGAGGATGTTACCGATGAAGCCCACAGGAAATAGGAAGATGGTGTAGAGCACGGAGAGGACCAGGCTGATGACGTAGGCCTGATGGTCCTCTAATGATGATGTTTCTAGAGAATCAGACACCACGGCCTGCGTGAAGTTGTTGTCAGTGGTGACTCTGTAGCCAACGTACATTTTCATGTCCATATTACACTCAGTGTTCAGCTGCTTCAAACCATCACATCTCCATAGTTGGTGGTTGTCTGAGGGTTCCCAGCCTTAGTGGAGTCTGTGCTGCCATGAGGTTTGCCTTTGATTCTCAAAGACGAGCTGAGCAGTTGTTTACATGAGGGAGAGGGGAGAAGACTTCAGTAACTCTGGTCGACTTCTGATCACAGTCAACTATTATATTTACGAAGGTTCAGTAACTCTGGTCGACGTCTGATCACAGTCAACTATTATATTTACATCAGTTGTTATTGCTATACAACCAGGGTCGATCTTTCCTGCGTTTCTGTTCTGGTTTGTTACTTCCTTAGGTTTATTTTTGCTTCTTTGGCTGCAGACCAGGTTACCTTTGTTGAACAATAACACATTTACATTTCTGTCAACGTTTGCTCATTTGTGGGTTGGAAATATCTGCATTTAAGCAACAATTATTCTACCAAGAAACACCTTTTTCTACTTGTGTTTTCTAAAGACAAAGGTCAGAAGACGAGCAGAGATATTTCACTATTGACCGTATTCCTTGAGTAAATGATTGAAAATTCACTGCATGTTAATGACACAGTAAAAACTTCCTTCTGCTAATGTTGGTAAATGTAAATATGTTTTTGTCTTACCACGGCACCGTTTGCTGTCAATAAAAACGTCTGTGTCCTTCTGCTTCGTCTCCCTGTGGCCACAGTCGCAGTGTGATGATGAGACGCACAGACGCTCCTCTGGTTAAGACATATTTACACAAAACAATCTGAAGGACAAACTGTGGAGACTCTCTGTCGATGTTCCTAGAAACTCTTGACCTTTTTTGTCTTTTAGCAGATGTTTATCTGGAGATATTTCAACAGGTTGTTGCAGATATAGAGAATTATTTAATTATTTACCCTGATGTGAATCAGGTCTGACATTTCACACAAACACGGCTCTGTTCATTTTCCTGCTGGTTTCGCCCCGTTCAGTCCTGGTACTGATGTCATATACATAATGCAGGTCAGTCATTCCTGGAACTGAAGTCTCCATGACTTAGGAAGGAATCAAAGACCTTCACAGACTTACACTGTTTGGATTTTTTTTTATTTGGTGAATATTGGCAGCTGAGACAGCAGGAGATTTTTCCAAGACGGTGTGTTTCCAAGGTGGCACTCAGGCCGCTTTTTTTTTCTTCTTTTTTTTTAATTCCAGGGGCAAATAAAGTGAGAGTGTTTCTAAGGCAGGTTGCTACTGATCATTTGCAGATGTTGTCAGAGTTCAATGGTCAGAGCCCTTTGGAACCTTAATTAGTCTGGATTAGGAAATGGAGAGGAGTCAGCAGCCAACAGGGAGGTCAGGGGTTTGATTCCCACACTCAAAGGAAATTTCCTTCCTTATAGTAAAACCTAAAATGCCGCCATTGTTGTGTTTAATACCAAAACAAACTCAACCAGACTGCAGGCGTCAAGTGTGTTTTTATGTTAAACACCTCCAGGAGATGAAAATAATTTAAACATTAAAGAACTATTTCCCAGCAAAACAGTTAAACAACATTGTATGATGTTTAGCAAAATGTTTATTTATTAAAATATTATCGTACAAAATAAATGATAACTTTTGGCAACTTCAGACACAAAGCATGTAACTAGATTTTCTTTTACATTAACTCATAAAGAAATACAAACAGAACAGGTCAGTGAGAACAGAGACAGTTAGTGACCAAACGTCTCCGCCATCAGGATTTCACATGGAGATCCTTCCCCTCAGAAAACCTAATTGTTTTTGTGGGACAGGGGGTTGAGCATTCCAAGACTACCGTAAGTCCAACTAAGTCAGACTAAGATCTGACATAATTAACTTTGTTTTTTCTTGAGGGTCTGATATAAATCATTGTTTCTTTTAATTTTAAATTCCTGAGCTCAATCCCAGATTTTTTTTAAGGTGTTTTGTCCTATTTAACAAAAAAGTCAGATATTTCAACTCAATGCCATTCTGCATTGTGTCCTAAACAATGTGACACAAAACATAAATAATGTGTTTAATGTTATTATTCTCTGAAACATATCAGAGTTTGTGAAGTCAGAGTCTTTTGGACTCTGGCTGAATCTAATCTGAGCCAAAGTTTTTTTTTTTTTAACCTCAGGTTTACAAAGTTTTTCCTTTCGTTGTACTGGAAGAGTTTTGTTCTGACGACAGCAGAGTTGTTTTTTTTTTCTTCCTCTATGACTCGATGTCCTGCAGTGTGTCTGTGATCTCGATATGTGGAGCGATGATGTTTCTGTTGGGTTGCGCTCGCCCTGGGCTTCGACAACAGTCCTTCAGCTGCCGGAAAATCCCCTGGAGACTCTCTCGACATGGTCTGTGCATGACCAGCACCAGCAGCAAGGTGGCGCTGCTCCCTGAGAACATCACAAACTCAGCCACGCTCATAAACGCCAGCTCATAGACACTCAGCTTTGCCTCTGTGTGGCGCTGTGCTGCTCTTAGCAGAGTCACCACATAAAGGAGCAGACAAAAGAACATGACTATAGTCACTGTCAGGAACATGGGACCTTCCTCCGAGCCCGAGAGGAATCTTCCTTTAGATTTCCACTGCCGGACACAGCCGCTGAAGAGAAGACCTAACTGGAGAATGTAGGGGATCAAAAAGCTGAGGCCCAACTTTGCTGCTGCATACGAAACACCGGCCTGGACTGGATCCATGGAGCACCTGTCGATCTCTGCCAGACCGTCACTCGGTCCACGGATCCCAGCCAGGATCAAAGAAATCAGCACAGAAGCTAGGATCACTAGACCTGCACAGACCCAAGGCTTCCTCAAGAGGGCGTTGGATGGAGGATCCAGGGTCAGAACATATGCCATGAGCACTAATACAAACAGGCCGCACAGAGAGGCCGCGTTGATGAAGAAGGAAAGTGTTGCACAGCTCAGGGCTGTGGTGTGCAGGTGATGAGGTCTGTAGGCCACAGCGTGGAGAGAGAGGAGCAGGAGGAGCAGCTGGAAGCAGCAGAAGGACCAGAGCAGGCAGTGGAGCCAGGCCAGCCGTCTGTGGGCTCTGTAGGTCTGGATGAAGTTGTAGATTACGAAGCAGCCTGCCAGGAATCCAAGTCCTGCAAAGAAACTGTAGCTGTAGTTGGCTCTGGACATGATGTCATTGGCGGTGATTTGGTCCCATAGCGAGGCGTTGGAGTCTCGGGTGCCCTTAAAGGTGGTGGTGGTGGTGTCTGTAATTGTGGAGTTTTCTCCTTCAGTCTGAAAGGGAAAGGATAAAAAACAGTGACATTAGGTGTCCTAACTGAGATTATGATTTGGCCCCAGACCTGTGGTCCAGCTCAGCCTCAGTGGTTCTCCCTACATCTGTTGAAGAGAAACCCAGCTGAATGTCAACACACGTGTTTCACAGCGGTGTAAAATACTGTACATCTCTACGTGTGTTTTTACTTTGACTTCTTTCAGTCCAGGTCACAGTCAAACAATTTCCTTCATCTAATCCAGGAATTGACTTCTCTTAACGTTGCTTATTTACACACATAAAACCTCGTGAAGCTGCAAGTCCTTTGTACATAAATATAAAATTACTTCAGAAATAGTTGCCAACTACTCCAATACCACTTCATATCTCTGGACAGTCTCCATCTCCTCAGGTTGTCAATCATCTGAACTGATCAGTAAAGATTTTTAAACCACATTAAATATTTCTCCTCAGTAAGTTCAGTTTGGTGTTTGTCCTGAACCAGGGGTCTCAAACCCTGGCTTGAGGACCACTTCCAACCCACAAAAAAGCAACAAATGTTAATAAAAAATGTTTTGGCTTTGAGGTAATTCTTTTATATGTATTTATTTTTCTATTATTAAAATGATTTAGTTGGTCATTTAAAAATACAACATTTACAATGGAAAACATCTACTTCGTCTGTCATCTACCATCTGATACTGTAACATATAACTTCAGATGATGCAAAAACACAGATTAACCAGCACTGGACACAGTCTTGAATGTAATGGTCATAAAGCAGCTAACAGTGACATTTCAGCAGCTTCCTTGTTTTTGGATTGGTTAGAAAAGTCACTTCTCAGCTGCTGCTGCTCAGTGTTTACATGATTGAATTGGAAAACACTGTTTCAACACGCACTTTATTCGCTTCCTGAATTCACTTTTTCAGTTCATGAGGAATGTTCAACCCAAATGTGTGACTCCTGTCATACCGACACTGAGATCAACATCTCCTTCTGCTGTCTGCCCCTGTTGCTGATCTGCTGTTCTTCAAGGGAACGTCTGTCTGTCTGTCTGTCTGCTGAGATAGAAAAAAGTTTCCACGTACCATTTTTGCTGCCGTCCCCCTCTCGCCTCCTGTTTTGAATTCTCCAGCCAGATGCTGCAGAGTCGATCTGAGGGCTGTTGAAAAGTGATGCTGGCTGCGTGCACGCAGCCGCTCACTCTGAAGGGCTTTTATATGTGTTCCTGTGGGCTGGAACCCACCAGCATATTTTCAAAATGACTGCGTGGCCATGTGACCAAAACCTTTTCCTCCCCTCCCTCTTCTGTTTTTTCATCACTCTGCTGAGTGAGGCTGTTAAATCAGACTCTCTCTGTGTGTGAGTGTGTGTGTGTGTGTGTGTGTGTGAGAGAGAGACAAAAGAGATGCGGCGAGTGGGATGGTTGGGGGGAAGGTA